GCCTGGCCTAAACATTAAATATATACATATATATATATATATATATATATATATATATATATGTGCCTCTAGCACAAATCTGTATGGAAGTAAAAGTAGATAACAATAAGTAAATAAATGTATAAATAAGTTAATATATAAATATATATATCTATAAATAAATAAATATAAATATATATATAAATATATATATATATATATATATATATATATATTGGTGTATGTGTTGTGCTTTTGTTGTTTGTGTTATATTTGATTTAACAGCTGGATTAGAAGTGTTAAGAATAATAAACGAGCCGACAGCAGCAGCATTAGCATACGGTATGGAGAAGGAGGACGGTAAGACAATTGCAGTGTATGATCTAGGAGGAGGGACGTTTGATGTATCTTTATTAGAAATTCTCGGAGGTGTATTTGAAGTAAAAGCTACAAATGGTAATACAAGCTTAGGCGGTGAAGATTTTGATCAAAAGATATTACAGTATCTTGTTCAAGAATATCAGAAGAAAGAAGGGATTAATCTAACTAAAGATAGATTAGCTCTACAGAGATTAAGAGAAGCTGCGGAGACAGCTAAAATAGAATTATCATCAAAATTATCTACTGAGATAAACTTACCTTTCATTACTGCTGATGCACACGGGCCAAAACACTTGCAGATATCTTTAACCCGTGCACAACTTGAGCAGCTTGTACAGCCTTTACTGCAGCAGAGTGTCGAGCCTTGCGAGAAATGTATAAGAGATGCAGGTATATCAAAAGAAGATATCAATGATATTATTCTTGTAGGGGGCATGACGCGCATGCCGAAGGTCGCCGATGTTGTTAAGTCAATATTTAATAAAGAGCCTTCGAAGGGAGTAAATCCTGATGAAGCTGTAGCTGCAGGAGCAGCAATACAAGCAGGGGTTTTGAAGGGCGAAATCAAAGATCTATTACTTCTTGATGTCTGTCCTCTGTCTCTCGGTATAGAGACTCTTGGAGGCGTCTTCACCCGCCTCATCAATCGCAACACCACCATCCCCACAAAGAAAAGCCAAATCTTCTCTACTGCAGCAGACAATCAAACACAGGTATGCTGCTGCTGCTGTT